TCCATTGGTTTACGTTACTTTTTCCACGCTGACCACCGGTTTCACATTCTATCACGTCTTGTGATTGGTTCATTACACAATTTGTGTTACTATGATTGGCTGTAATAGGCCATTTCCGAGTTGCTTTGTGGCTCTGTTTCAAAACGAGTCTTGGTGCAACATTTTCGCTTGAGGACTCGTTTTGACCCGGAGGCAAATTAAAGGCAACTCGGAAGTGGCCTATTGATTATGCTGATATTAGGGAGTATAAGTAACTACGACGGTGACATCGAGGACAACGTCTATTAAAAAGTGAATTTACATTTTACCTTCGAATCTCGCGATACTCTAAAGTCATTTAGTTTGTTTCTCGCAACCGAATAAGGAACACAGCGTAAAATTCGAAATATAACTTTAAAAAATTATCCGTCCTGGTCCACGTTCTCCGCACAACGCACAATTTGGTCATTTCACGTTGTTTTTTTTCGGCGGACGGCAGAGAAAAGTACCAAGAATTACAACGCACGTGCACAGCCATTGTTCATTAAACCTTTTTGTTTAAGCCTGGCTCACATGACTTGTGAGATAAGCATAACACTAGTGAAATAAGCATAGGCGCAAGCACAGGAAAAATGAACATGTTTCTTTCTCTTGTGTTTGTGATCGTGCTTATTTCACTAGTGTTATGCTTATCTCACAAGTGGGAACCTGCTTATTTCACTAGTGCTATGCTTATCCCACAAGTGTGAATCAGGCTTTCCCGTTACCGTTCGCGTTTTAGTTTTCTTAAACTCCCTATTACATGTAGTTTCAGTCGCTAGTTTTTTCTTCAACCTTTCTTTTACAGACATGTGTGTTATGCCAAACAATTTAGAAGGTATCACCTGTCCACCACCCAACGGGCAAGATAATCCCGCCTTCCAATGCATCGCTAAATACATCACCGCGGAGTCATGTAAAGCCGCCGGAGGAACCTGGAAAAAATTCATTGCTAACTTCTTGGAGAAAACTTCCGGAGTGTTGAGCACCTGCCATGATGTGGGAGAAATGAAGCTGGCAAGAGGTATACCGTACGACGCACACAAGATCTCACAAGGAGCTGATAACAAGTTACAGTATGTTCTCCTTCACAAACCCCCTGATGTGATCTACGCCCCATC